TTCGAGCCCATTGTCTGCCTACCCCGCACCCCCACCTCTGATATATTCTCCTGGGGCATTAATAGCTTGAGGCAGGTTACAGACATCAGCATTTGGTTCCTCCCTGTCTCACCTGATCTGTCCCTAAGCCCCGTGGTTCTTAACCTTAACTGCAGGTCAGATTCACCTGTTTAAGTTTTGCTTTGATTTTAATACAGATGTCTGAGCCTCCATTCATCTCCAGCAACATAGTTTTAACTCCTTCCAACTGGGACCCATCAGAAGACAGACACTGTCTCAGCCCAGAACGACCACACCTAAATGCGGGAAACAACACACACCCTGCTTGTGAAATTGTCTCCGATTTTTTCTATACTATTGTTTTGTTTTGTGTTAATGCTGGTGATGCTCTGCTTTGAGCTCATGCAGATGGGCAAACATTTGTTTGGAAATTAATTTGTCTTTCTCAGTTTCTTCCTCCTCCGATTGCAAGTCCATAACCCGGTTCTTTGCTGTTCCTTGCCTTGGGGATTTTTTGAAGGGCAGAATGCAGACACCGCCTGAAGTCAAAGGATTTTCCGGATTTTTGTAAAAACCTAAACTCTTTGATGAGGTTAGGCTTGATGTCCCCAGGAGGAAAGGAAGAACAGCCTCAGAGCATGACATTTCCATTGGGCTGGAAATAGGAAGAATGTTGTAGGTCTGGGAGTAGAGGGGAAGGAGCGGTGCCCCATTTGCTGGCCGTGTCCCAGGACCGGGGCAAGACCCCAAGGGTGGGGGGCCTTTCCATGAGGATGAACCCTAGGGGTCCCCAGCTGTGGCAAAATTGTTCATGCCCCAGAACAGCTAGGATCAATGAAACAAGAAATAGCAAGTGTTGGCGAGGATGTGGAGAAAAAGGAGCCCTCATGCACAGTTGGTGAGGCTGCAGACTGGTGCAGCCACTGTGGAGAACAGTATGGAGGGTCCTCAAAAAGTTAAAAACAGAACTACCTTAGGATCCAGCAATTGCATTACTAGGTATTTACCCAAAGAATACGAAAATACCAATTTGAAAAAATACATGTACCCCTCAGCTTATTGCAACATTATTTACAATAAACAAATTGTGGAAGCAACCCAAATGCCCATCAACCGATGAATGGATAAAGAAGATGTGGTGTATAGATACAATGGAATATTATTCAGCCGTGAAAAAGAATGAAATCTTGCCATTTTCAACAACATGGATGGAACGAGAGTGTATTATGCTGAGTGAAATAAGTCAGACACAGAAAGACAATTATCGTAGGATTTCATTCATATGTGGAATAAAAAACAAAACCTACGAAAAGCAGAAACAAACCCATAAATGAGAACAGATGGTTGCTAGAGGGGAGGGGGCGGCGGGGGGGACGGGCAGAATGAGTGGAGGGGAGGGGGAGGTCCAGGCTTCCGGTGATGGCACGAACACGTCATGGGGACGAAAGGGTCAGATGGAGAATACAGTCAATGATACCCCAATAGTGCTGTGTGGGGACCGACAGCAGCCATGCTTGCCGTGAGCGCAGAACACCGTGTGGATTTGTCGAATCACAATGCTATGCACCTGACACTAAGGAGGAAACATTGTGTGTCAACTACACTCAAATAAAAAATACGTAAGTGAAAGATCAGCCTCCCCGCACAGGATCAAAGCTCACCCCCGATTCTCAGATTTCATGAGGTGTTTAAGACTGTCACCCATTTTAAAACCTTGTGCCAATTGAAATTTTCGAGGAAACCTATTCCTTAACGCAGGTCCTTCTACCCTTTGAAAACTGTCTTTCTGAAAATCCTCCAGGATTTTCCATCTTCCCAAAAGGACACTCTGTCCCCATTCCACACTGACTCCCAGCCCCCAGAGCCCCCCAGCCCCCCGGCACCTCCATCCACTCTGTCTCTATGCATCCGGCTGCTCCAGGTTCCTCATCTGAGTGGGACCACACAGCACTTGCCCTCTGGGACTGGCCTGTGTCCCTCAGCGTGTCCCACAGGCTCATCCACGCTGCGGTGGGTGTCAGAACGCCCTTCCTCTTCTGACGGAATGAGACGCGTGTTTAGCCGCTCATCTGTCCACGGACACTTGGGTCACCACCACCTCCCGGCTACTGTGAACAATACTGTTGTCAACATGCGCATGCAAGTCTCTCTTTGAGACCCTGCCTTCAGTTCTTTTGTGTATATACCCAGAAGTGGGACCATTCGGTGAAGCAGCTGCCTTCGGCTCAGGTCATGATCCCGGGGTCTTGGGATCGAGTCCCGTGTTGGGGGGGGGTCCCTGCTCAGCGGGGAGCCTGCTCCTCCCTCTCCCTCTGTTCCTCCCCCCACTATGCGCACGCACTCTCTCTCTCAAATAAATAAATAAAATCTTTAAAAACTTAAAATAATCAGGGAATGAAACTGACTTTCACCTGTTATTCAGATTCAGAAAGGGTTTATTGCTTGTGTTTCTAGAAGGTGAATAGAAACTGCAACAAACATTAATGCAGAGGGAGGACCTGGGCTCGGGCTGCACGGGGGTGTCCAAAGCCGCCCTTCCCTCCCACTTCAGCAGGCTGCCTGGACCACGGGGCCACCGCCACACCTCTCGGCCCCTCAAGGCCCTTGGGCAGCACTGCTTGGTCATCACTGCCCTGAGCGTAAGGTGGAGGAGAGGGTTACCACCCCAGGTGCCAAGGTTAGTGGCTTCCCCGGGGCCGCGTACGGTTGTGGAGGGGCAGTTTCCCCCCAAATCCTGGTGCGTTGTTGACAGAAGGGAGGAGGACACTGGGCAGGCTGTAACCAGACATTTACGGCACCCCCTGCTGGCCTGGCTGACGGTGGTGTGCACATGCTTGTGTGTGCATGCACACACGTGCATGCACACCACACATACACACACACATTCATACACACACGCAAACACACCACACATATGCACGCACACCACACATACACACGCACATACATACACACACGTGCACACATGCACATACATGTATGCACATACATACCACACACGCACATACATATACACGTGCACACATGCACATACATACACGCCGCACACCAAACACACCACACACATGCACGCACACCACACAGACACACGCACATACATATACACACGTGCACACACACATACATACACACGTGCACACATGCACATACATACATGCCACACACGCACATACAAACACACCACACATATGCACGCACCCCACACATACACACGCACATACATATGCACACACACGTGCACACACGTGCACACACCCACACATGCACAGAATACACAGCACACACATGCACACATACACACACGCAAACACACCACACACATGCACGCACACATACACAAGCATGCCCACACATATACACACGCACATACATATACACACATGCACACACACATACATACACATGCACACACGCACATACATACGCACATGACACACACATGCACACGCACATACACCGCACACATGCATGCACACCACACATACATATACACATGCGCACACACATACACACATGACACACACATGCACACATGCACACACATACACGCCACACACGTGCACGCACACATACCTACACACACGCAAACACACCACACACATACACGCACACATACCACACAGATGTGCGCACACATGCACACACACACGGACATGCATGCCCCACACGTGTACAAGGCACACGATGGTACAATTTTTCATAATGCCAGGATCTTGGAGAAGCTTCACGTGAAAGATCCACCACGAAAACACTACCCTTCCGTCTTCCCCAAAAGTGTCAACCCAGAACCACGTGCAGATGCTAAATGCACTTATTTAAAGTCTGGAATCTCTGGAGAATATCCCTTCTTCCTCGGGTCTATCACGGTCCTTCTGCCTTGCCCTCTGCCACCTGTGAGCCCTGCAATGAATTTGGCTGCCATCCCTACATCCTGTACATAGTAATAAGAAGAGAAAATTGTCCTCAAGAAAACAAAGAAATTCAAGTGAAGGCCTTCGCTTCTACCTTGATCACAGGGCACAGCCCACAGCTTATGGGGCTTCTCCCCCAGCCGCTGAAACCTCTAAGCCGACGTCAGGAAAGTGATTACAAAGGAGGGTCCTTGGTGGGCGCCCCTTCCTCCCACACTGGACGTTGGTGCAGAGCATCTCCCACATCCTGCCAGACGGGATCCCCAAGCTTAAAAGCTCTTCTCTCCAGCTAGGACTGCTACTCTGGCTGATTCTTCCATTGACCACTGGAATGCTTCTAACGGCACTTACTTGTTGAGATCGGGGTACAACATGAAGCCAGCGATGCTCATGGGCATCTGCTCATGTTGCAATTGCTCGTTGCAATTGCTCATTTTGCAATAATAAGACTTAATGGAAAGTGGGGCTGTGTGAGATACCACATGCTATAAAAGCCACTCCGTAAATCCACTTTGGCCAGCGCATGACAGGTAGCAAAGAACCAAGCTCCAGCTGCAAACAGGTGTCCCTCCTGGGGAGGCCATACAGGGGAAACAGCCTAGGATGTGATCAGGCTGCCACTAAGTGGCTGTCTGTTCCTGCCAGAATATGGTAGAGTGCACAGCTCGGGCCCCGGCTCCTACATCTGCCCTTTGTGGGTGCATTCTCCGATCCTTCATTTTTCCCCATCTGTAAAATGCAGAAAATCATAAACCCTCCTGAGGATTAGATGAGTCAATGCAGGTGAGCAGAGTAGCCACAGTCTCAGTCCTCCCGACGCCAGCGCCCTGCGCTTAGCCGCCGGGGAGCAAACACCACATAGCCCTGTGTGGTCCCCGCCAGGCTCGGGGTGGAGGGGTACTCTCCCGAGCACACAGGACAAAGCTAACAGCGTGATCCCGGAGCTTCTGGAGGCCTCAACCCACTCAGGTCTTCACCTGGGCAAACCCAGGGGCTGCGCATCACTGTGAAAATAGCTGGGGGCCGGCCTGCCCCTTTCGGTAGTCTTTGAGTGACGCTGACTCAACATGGAAGTAACCGTCTTAAAGCACACGCTTCCGCGTGAACGGGCCGTGTCTGAGGCTCGTCCAAGCTGCAGCGTGGGACACACGCGTGTGCGCCCCATTCACAGGTGGGGTCAGCCCGAGGGTCCGTCCGCGTGTCCGCGGCAGGTAAACAGGTGGCCATGTGCACGAGCGATGGGCTATTACTCTCCCGGGACAGGGATGACGTTTCAAAGAGGCAGAAAGTAGGTGGTGGTTTCCAGGGTTGGGGGTGGGAGGGGGGTTCATGTTTAGTGGGGACGGAAAGCTCTGGAGACAGCTGGGGGTGGACGTCCCCGATGTCGCGGGCCCGGGCGTTTACAAACAGTGGCGACGGTGAATTTAGTGACGCGTGATCTCCCGAAACAAGCAAGAGGGGGTGGTGAGCGGGTACGTGCTTCATGGGCGAGTCCTGCAAACAGGATGCCCGCTTCCCCGCCTCCCCCCGCCCCTGCAACCCGCTTTTGTTTCATGTGTTGTTATGATAAAGAGTAAGCTTTTAACACAACGTCCTTCAGAACAACTTCAGGAAATACCCGTGGGAGAATCTGATTTATTAACTTCATAGCTGCATGTGGCCAAGGTCGGTACCTGAGTTCTTCAGATTCCGATTTAAGTAACGCCTACGGAGCTCCTGCTCTGAGTGGGTTCCAGACGCGCTCTCTGCATGGGCCGCCCCCCTGGCCCTCGAGCGTGTGTGTGACGAGCAACATCCTCACCCCCACTTAACAGGTGGGGCACCTGGATCCGTAGAGCTTCTGGAGTTCCAGTTCTGCGGGATGGCCGGGGTCCTGGGACGGACGGTGGCCGCGCGACACGGGGAGCGTGCTCAATGCCACCCAATGGTAAGTTCCATGTGCGTTTTACTACAACTCTAAAGAGCAGGGGATTTCACGAAGCTCCCTCCACGGCTGCCAAGGGGCAGGGACGGACACTGGGTCTCCGGGCCCGGGAATGGTCCCGATGGCCAGAACGAGGCCAGGGTGCGGGGAGCACCCGGGCAGGAGTCCAGGCGCCAGGCTCCGGACAAGTCCTTTTCAACTCACCGGTTCTTTCCAGCTCTAAACGCACAGCTTCTACTTCTCCGATGCTGAGTGTGTATCCGAGGTCTCGGATACCAAGAGCAGCCTCGCAGAGGAAGAGCGCTCCTGGCCGTGCGTCGGATCTGGGGCAGATGTGCCTGGTGCCAGGAGGTGCCCGGGGTGCTCCCCGCCCGCAGAGACAGTAATGGTTTGTGACTCTGAGCTCACCGGAAGGTCAGCTGGGTCAAAGAGGGAGCTCGAGCGTTTGTTTAAACCTCGGTCCAAGATTCTCCCCACTTGCGGCTGGAAGGTGATGAGTTCTGAGCCGCACCAGAGTCGGACGCCCTGAGTCTGACACCACCTGCTCTTTGAAGAGAAACCCATGCGTGTTAATCACTAGGAAGGAAAAAGAAATGCCAAGCACCACGGTTCACTTGGCAAATGTTTGCCAGGCACGGCGGCCTGCCAGGCAGCGTCCTGGCCGCTGGGGGTAAAACAGAGGTAAACAGAAGGGTCGGGTCCCTGGCCTCAAGGGGTTTGCCCGCTGGTGGGCGTTCTGCCCATGAACCTGAGCCAAAAAGCCAGGGAAGGAAAGACGTGAAGAGCGTTGGGAGTGCTGCTTTGGGAAGGGCAATCAGGAGGGTCTCCTGGAGGCGGTGATGTGCGAGCCAAAGCCTGAACTGCTAGCAAATGGAAGTAGCTGCTGAAAGAGCCCCGTGTGGGGAGCACGGGCATCAGCACCTTCGGGGGAGGTCCTGGGGGCAGAGGTTAGAGACAGAGCTCCGCGAGGCTGGGCAACCAGCCCAGAGTCTTCACGGGAGCCCAGAGCTCGCTCTCATCGGCTCTGCTCTATCCACTCGGCCCTGCTAAGTTTAGGTTGGATTTAGGAATGAGCATCGGCCCCTGCCTCATGCCCGCTTCTCTCCAGCCACCCGCCTACCCCTTCAGTGCGCCCACTCGGTCCTCTGGGCGAGCCTTGCCCCCACCTAGGGGCCCTCCCTCCAGCTCCCTGTGTCCCTCTGTCTCGGGGCCTCAGCTCCAGGGTCTCCTCCTCAGGAAGGCCTCCCTGACTACCCACCCAGACATCCCTCTTGAGGCCAGGACTCTGCTGGGGTCTCCCCAGAGCAATTCGGCCTCCCCATGAGCATCCTCTGCCCCCAGGAGAATGTGGGCCATTTGGGAGAGAGGGCTGGTCCAGGACACCACCTCTGTCCACATGTGCAAACCCCAGAACAGAACCTGGCACACCACCACGCAGCCGGGACCGATTTGCTGGGCGGGAGGCTCAGGTTGGGGGACGGAGTCAGGGAGGGCTGGTTTTGAAGGATGAATAGGAGTTCTCCAGGGAGACCAACAGAGATGGCATTTCTAGAGAGGGGCTACTACATCTGGACAAGCCAGGGGTGGTGAACCACCACTGATCACCGGCAAGTGCATCCGATGATGGGTTATTGGTGTGGAGCAGGTAGCTGGGGAGGTCGGACGGAGAGATCACTTGCCAGGAGCCTCTGGGCGAGGCCGGAAAGCCCGGGGCTCGGGGCTGATGCTGCAGGGGACCTGGGGGCAGCGGAAGGGTCTTACACAGACAAGAGACAGGGGGTCGGGTGTGGGTGGAAAAGGCTGCATGGGGGGCAGTGTGAAGGACCGACTAGCAGGAGACCCTGGTCCCATGAGGGCTATTTATTCTCGGTCAGGGCAAGAAATGGTGTGGTTGCTGGTGATGGTGGACCAAGGAAGGGGATCCCAGAGATGTTTGGGGGCAAAAGGACGGCATGTGGAGCTCAAACATGCAGGTGTTTCTGGCTTAGGGGCCAGCAGCCACGTCTGAGCTGGGAGCCTGGGGCGGCCAAGCTTGAGCAAAGGTGACGCACATCAGTCTGAGGGTTGGGGTTCATCTTGGGGACGGGCATCCGGGAGATAAGAGGACACTTGGGGGCGCACCCCTCGGGCTCCTGCATGGTGTGGCCGGACTGGAAGACGGATCTGAAAGCCAGTGGGGCAATGAGGTGCTGGCCAAGGGAGCCCCCTCTGCTGTGCCCCCATTTCTCATCCGAGTTTATCCTGACGGGCTTAGTGGGAGCAAGTCCTGTTCCCCGCTCTGGAGAGACTCCTGCGTGGAGCACCGATCCCCTGTTGTGGGATTCAACCCACTTCCTCCTTCCCTTTGCAGAGGGATGCAGAGCTCGGGGGTCCTGGAGACGGTCGTGGGGCCCCCTCTCCGTCCCTGTTCCTCCTCCTGTAACAGGAAGAGAGGCCCGGGTGCTGATGAGGGACGCGTCTCTCCGTCCAGGCGGACACAGGCGGCGGGCCGCGTCCCCAGGGGAGTGCTGAGCTTCCTCCCACCCCTGCCAGCGTTCACAGCCCCGTGAGACGGACGCATGAGCTGCCGGAACAGCAGGTTCTCTCCCCCTCTCCACTCTGGGGATCCACACTCCATCCCGCAGCCTGCGTTCACTGTGACCGCTGCTCACCCCCAGCCCGCATCTGCTTCCCTCCCTGCACTCTCCAGACTCCTCTCCAGTACCACCGCCTCCGGGAAGCTTTCCGTGATGCTCCAGGGTTTGCGACTCTGATCATGCTCTGACCTTATGGGCGATTATGTCCTCTCCCCACCGCAGAGCCCTGGGGCTGTGGCCGGCCCACTGGCAAGGGGGTGGGGACCACCACAGCCTGCCGCAGGCCCCCACCATGGGTAGAACATCCTTTGACTGAGGGAAGCTGCGGGCTGACCAACCCACGGAGAGCAGGACCCGTGAGCCCAGCCAGCCCCTTCATCTATTTAACAGGCCATATAAATCATGTAACATTTTATAAATCATATAAATCATGTTTTTATGAAGCATGAAAATCACCTGTAAAGATACCACCTGTGGATGGAGGCAGCCCGCAGGGAAACCTCGAGCATTCCAGGACGGATGCACGGTCCCCGCCCCGCGCCCTGGCCCTGGCCCTGCCCGCGTGCCCGCACAACCTTCCCCAAAGGGAGAAAAGCAAGAGGCGTTCCCGGAGTGAGGGCGTGGGCTTGGGGGGGGACAGCACAGCGAGGATCCCGGATCCGCCCCTGCTGCCTGAGATTTCGGAGCAAGACGCTCGTCATCTGAGACTCCAGAAGCCCGAGGTGAGGACTCTCAGCCTTCGCTGTCTCTGGGGGCTCCCCGGGAACTCGGGGTGTTCCCCAGCAGCGTTTCTGAAAAGCTGGGAGACTCTGAGCAGAGGCCTTCCCTGGAGAGATGAGGGAAAGGCCCTGGATTTGGGGGCAGAGTGTCCCCTGGCCCCCTCTGCTCTTTCCAAGACTGCGTCCTCCTCCATTCACGGCTCTGGAAGCCTTCAGTGTGGCTTGGGCAATGGGCAGTGTGCACAGAGTCCATCACTGGACACGCCCCCTTCTCCCCAATAAGGCCTCCGCTTCTACAGGTAATCTGGAAAGAGTGAACGTGCTAGTGGGTCGTGGGGGGGGCTTCTCAGCGGTGCCGTGGCCATGGGAGCCCAGGGAGGCCGTGGGAAGTGCTGTGTGTCTGCATGTCGAGCGCCGTGGGCTGGATGTGTGCATCCCCCCAAATTCACGTGTTGGTGGTGGGGCCCTTGGGGGAAAGATGGGTCAGGAGGGGGAGCCCCTACGATGGGATTAGGGCCATGGGAAAGACCCCGGTGACGCCCTTCCTCCACGAGAGGACACAGGAACAGGGAAAGGATCCCCACCTGACACCGAGCCTGCAGGACCCGGATCTTGACGTCTGGCCCCCAGAACCGGGAGAGATGAGTGTTTGCTGTTTACAAGCCCCAGTGGCCGGCAGGGACCGGGCGGGCATTGTCACGGCCACGCTGACCCAACGTTCTTGACGTGCCGGCAGGTGGAGGGTGGTTCAGGCAAGGACAGGGGGCTGGCAGAGAAACTGCCTTGGCCGGGTGCGCCAGGCCCACGTGCCCCCCGAGGGGGTCCCATTTCTGCAGCCCATCTGCAGACAGTGAAATCTTAATCTCACCACGAGGAAGCCCCAGACAGACCCAAACGGAGGACAGTCTACGAATCCCCGGCCAGCGCCCTTCCGAAGTGCCCGAGTGGTGGCAGGTGGATTGAGGGCCGTCCCAGATCAGAGCAGCAGGTGTGGGTGGGTCTTCAGCGGGCGGCGGAAACGTCCGAGCGCACCTGTGGATCAGTCCCTAGAGCATCCCTGTCACAGCTCCTTCCCCGGCTCGGATCCCGATGCCCCGGGCACACGACCTGTGTCGTGTGAGACTGCAGGTGGAAGGGAATTCTGCCTCTTCTGCAGCTTCTTTGTAGATCCAAAATTACTCCAAAATTGTAAACTATTCTAACGCTAAGGAGAGAGAAGACAGAGATTCCAGCAAGGAGAAGCAGGAGGCCACGCGCCAGGATGGCCCCTTTCCTAGCCCCGTGGGGCCCGGGGCTTAGAGGGAAGGGAGGTCCCCGCTTTCCTGCTTTCCTCCCAAATCAGAGCCTAAACTCTCCCAAGCCGCAGTCTCCGCGAGCCTTACGTGAGCCTCCCCAGGTGATGCAGCCCAGGCAGAAAGCTGCAAATCTGCTCCAGGCCCCACCAGCCCCACCAGAAGCGTCCTCCAGTCCCCAGGGCCAACCCAAGGCGCTGGCCTGCCCGATGGGACGGATGACCCACCCTCTCCCTCCATGCATCGTCTGCCCACGCACCCCTGGGGCTCAGTCCCCAACACTCAACATCTCGCTGTTTGGGGGCCCTTTGCTACCAACAACAAAAATCTTGGGGAGCCTGGGAGGCTCAGCTGTTTAAGCATCCGACTCTTGGTTTTGGCTCAGGTCGTGCTCTTAGGGTCGTGAGCTGGAGCCCCACGGCGGGCTCAGTGGGGAGTCCGCTGGAGACTCTCCCTCTCCCTCTGCCCTCCCCCGCTCTGCATACTTGCTCTCTCTAAATAAATAAATTAAATTAAATCTTTTGAAAAATCTCTTGGATTCCCGCAGAATTACAGTCAATCCTTTGGTACCCGTCCTCTGAGGAAATACATACTCGCAAAAATAAAAGCAAATGCATTGACCTTTTAAGAATAAAACTCTATTTTGCCCATCGCCACAGACTAGGTACGTGTTTGGGGGAACGTGTCGTGTGTCGCTCTGCAGGAAGCTTGGGCTCCCAGGACTCACCGGGGAACGCATCCCTCGTTTGCGGGAGGACAGCCCCACCCGACCAGCACCCCCAGCCTGAGAGCCCCCCAGACCTCAGGACCCCCAGCCCAGGCACAGCCTGGTCACACTGCAGTCTGGGGCGGGGGGAGAGTGTGCACCCCACACACTTATCAAAATATCCCCCCACATTTCAAACCCGGGGGACTGTACATAAAGCTCTACTTTGTTTCCATCTGCCTCTAAACCCTGAGGCGGGCTGGTCAGAATCAGATCTTCTGGCTGCACAGAAACGCGGGGGGTCGCAAGACAAACAGCCCGTTTTTACTTAAAATATTGACATTTTGTTCATTATGGATTTTTTGCATTAAAATTGCATTGAAATATTATTTTCATTATTGGTGGGTTTTTGGGGGGTGACCTCTTGAAATTTCGTTCTGGGCATGAGTGCCCCCCTTGGCCAGCGCTGGCCAGCCCTCCACGTCCCTCCCGGGCAGGGGTGACGAGCAGAGCTGTGCTGGACACCTGCACAATGTCCCATTGACGCTGTCTGCTTGATCTGAAGAGGCTCGCCATGGGGGAGGGCGGGGGGCCCACACCTCCCTGTCCCTCTTTGGTTTAGGCCGGGGCTCAACAGACTTTTCCTGCAAAGAGGCAGAAGATAAGTATTTGAGGCCTTGAGGACCATTCGGTCTTTGTCACAACCACCAGACTCGTAGCCCAAACGCAGCCGTACCCAATACGTAAATGAACAGGTGCGGCTGAGCCCCAATCCCACTTTATCTACAAAACAGGGGCCACAGGCCGAGTCTGTCAAGCCCTGGCCTGGGTCATGAGCACCTGCGCCTCCAAGAGGATCTCCTTCTCTAACATAGAAGTCCCTTTTTTTAAAAGATTTTTATTTAGTTATTTGAGAGGGAGGAAGAGAGCACAAGCAGGGGGAGCGGCAGAGGGAGAAGCAGGCTCCCCGCTGAGCAGGGAGCCCGACGGGGGACTCGATCCCAGGACCCCGAGATCATGACCTGGGCCAAGGGCAGACGCTTAACCTACTGAGCCACCCAGGCGCCCCCATAGAAGTCCTTTTTATGCAAAGCAAGAATTCACTTTCCTATAATATTCATCTTAAATACATTAGCACCTTAATCACCTTTAACGGGTACAGAACATCCCATTCACTGTGTGTGTGTGATGGTTAAACATACATCTATGCACATTTAATGTATGTGATGGCGAAATCAGTAACATCTACCATGGTTAATTGTACGAAGGTGTGTATTACTCAACCATTATTTATTCTTTTATTTGTCACTATTAGCCGTCCCTGTAGCAGGCACCCTGCTGGGGCCTGGAGATGCCACGAGTAACAGTGAATGAGGTGAGTGACACAGGGAGGGCACGGTCCCACGACCGCCCTTCCTGGTCCAGCCACGGTCAGCCCGTGTCCCCCAGTCTCTGGGACAGTTGTTCCCACCTGCGCCCGAGTGGAATGTACCAGACGCGAGTCCCAGGTTTGGGTTCTGAAACCGGGGTCGTGTGATGGTAAATGACAGGATGACGGGTCCACTGACAGTCGACAAACTCCCCTCTCATTCCCGGTAATGTCCCTCGGACAGACCCCGGGGGTGGGGTCGCTGCTCCAGAGGGGGTGAGCCTTCTGATGACTCTTGATCCGTGTCGTCAAATTGTTCTCCAGAGGGCTTACGCCCGACTGACGCGCCCCCGCCCGCAATGTGTGGGCACCACGGTTGTAACATAACTGTGCCCCTTCTGGGTGTGATCATTCTACTTCCGAACGTGGGCTAATTTAATAGGTGTAAGATTGAATCTCATTTTAATTTGCGTTTCTTTTTTTTTATTCTTATGTTAATCGCCATACATTACATCATTAGTTCTAGATGTAGTGTTCCATGATTCATTGTTTGTGCATAACACCCAGTGCTCCATGCAGAACGTGCCCTCCTCAGTACCCACCACCAGGCTAACCCATCCTCCCACCCCCCTCCCCTCTAGAACCCTGTTTGTTTCTCAGAGTCCATCGTCTCTCATGGTTGGTCTCCCCCTCTGATTTCCCCTGCTTCATTCTTCCCTTCCTGCTACCTTCTTCTTCTTTTTTTTTCCTTAACATATATTGCATTATTTGTTTCAGAGGTACAGATCTGAGATTCAACAGTCTTGCACAATTCACAGCGCTTACCAGAGCACATACCCTCCCCAGTGTCTATCACCCGGTCACCCCATCCCTCCCACCCCACCCCCCACTCCAGCAACCCTCAGTTTGTTTCCTGCAATTAAGAATTCCTCATATCAGTGAGATCATATGATACATGTCTTTCTCTGTTTGACTTATTTCACTCAACATAATACCCTCCAGTTCCATCCACGTCGTCGCAAATGGCAAGATCTCATTCCTTTTGATGGCTGCATAATATTCCACTGTGTAAATATACCACATCTTCTTTATCTATTCATCTGTCGATGGACATCTTGGCTCTTTCCACAGTTTGGCTATTGTGGACATTGCTGCTATAAACATCGGGGTGCACGTACCCCTTCGGATCCCTACTTTTGTATCTTTGGGGTAAATACCCAGTAGTTAATTTGCGTTTCTTTAATCGTTACAAAGGTTGAACGCTTTCTCCAATAAACACGCACTTGGGTTTGCTCCCTTCATTGCTCCGTTCATGTAAAGCACGACACGTTAACCCCGTACCACCTGCCAGACGCCGAACGCAGGGCTGAAGACCCAGGGACACACAGACGCCATCCTTGCCTTCAAGGATCTCGCGTCCAGTGAGGAAAGCAGAGTGAACGGACAGTCCCAATGCAGCAGAACGGATCATGCGCTGGAGAGAGGCCCAGAGCGCTCTCTCCAGGGGGGACAGGAGGGACCCAGGGAGGTGACCCAGAGGACAGCATCCAACCCAGCCCGGGGGCTGAAGACGGTGCTTGGCCGCTGTGGATCAGCCTTGCACAGCCCGGTGGGCAAACCAGAAGAGACGTCTCCTGCCTACGTACGTCTGCTCCTGCCTTTCCCTGCACCGTGTAAGTCTCCCTGCGTGTCTCACTGTGTGTACATGCGTGCGCGCGTGCATCTGCCCGGGGGGCTCGTGCTGTGCCTTTGGGTGTGGAGCTGGGCACCTGCATGTCCTAGTGGTTCCAGGGGCCACGTGGGTGCAAACCTCCATGCGCTGGGCGCCGGGCTGCTGGTTCTGTAGCTCGGAGTTTGGCAGATGGACCGGGTGCCTGCAGGTGGAGGAACGGGGTGATTTGCACGGACTGCTGCCAGGTGATAGGGCCACCAGAGAGGCGTCCAGCCCTTTGCCCAGCTACCGTTGGCTGCAATCCGCCCCCACCCACTGCAGGGCAGGGGGTGTCCCAGCCTCTCTGGTAGCCCTGTCATCTGCATCAGACATAGCGTCTCCTCTGAAATATCAGTCTGTCTCCTGAATGCCTGCTGAGCCAACCTTCCGTGCTTCTCAGAGGCCTCCCTGGGATGGGGAACCCCAGGAGCAAGTAAGCTCAATACAGCTCATCCTCTGCCCCGAGACACTGGAGTCTATGAGGTCGACCCCCTCAGGAAGGGCACCGGGGAGCACGGCCCATGTGGGAAGGTCGTCACCCCTGTGTGTGCACTGCCCTCCCGGGCCTCCGATCGCCCATGGGGGGACAGCCCCAGAAGCACAAAGCCGATGCTGCCCGCCTTGCCGGAGGGCTGGGCGTCCAGCCTCCCCCCGCCTGAAACGCCCCCATTGAATGCCTGTATGTTCTGCGGCTTGAAGTGCGTCAACAGGCAAATGCTTCCCTCCCCACTCCCAGGCCAGCACCCAACCCCAGACGTCGACGCTCTTAGCACGTTGAGGTTGATCGGGATAAAATCCACACGCCGTACGGCACGCCTACATTAGAGCACAGGTCAGCGTTTCCTGGCACGTTCACAGACTCTGTGACCGGAGTCAGAACGCCGTCGTCGCGCCTTGCTGTCTGCAACTTACTCTCTTCCACGCTACGTACTGGAAATCTTTCCATATTAGCACACACACCTATATTACTCTGCAGTGGGTAGGAATTTTCCTTCGAATTGTCACCATCATGGCGCTTTCATGCGAACATCCCTGGATATGTACCTCTGAGTACGTGCGGGGCAGATTTCCTGGAAGTGCAACTGCACGTTCAGAACTTCAGAGCACCGGAAACTGTGGTGAGACCTCCCAGAGCGACGTGCAGCGGGCCGGTAACAATCTGCGGCACCGCTCAGACTTGCTGGGCCTTGACCCTGCTCCAGGAGCGGCCAGGTGGTGCTTCCCCGGGGCCCCAGGGTCACTCACCTACAGCAGCATGCTGCATCTGTTACGGCTCCCGATTCAGAGGGCAGGCGGGCTCCGCTGGGCACGTCTGCCCCACGCGGTGTAGCCGGGGCCCCGCGTGTGCCTGCGTCCGGAGGAGTGGTCAAGTGGAGCCAGAATGTCCAAGATGACGTCCCGACCAGCGTCGGTGTGGAAGAGAGGAGACCAGAGCATGCACACCGGAGGCAGGGGGCCCGGGGGGCTGCCAGGGCCATGTCTGTCCACCACAGCCCCTCCTGGGAGATGCCCCACCCTGACCCTATCACACACTGGCCACTGACCACAAACAGTCTAGGTCCCCATCTCAGGACGGTCGTGTCCATGGGCTGCACCCGGGACCAATTCTGCCCAGCCCCTCAGGAGTAGGTGAGGGTGAACAATGAGAATTTACGGAGAGAGAAGTCGAGGTTCAACCTGATCAAGGATTTTGCTGGAGGTGGCCAGAGAGGACGCAGGAGTGATGTTCTTGTCATGGGAGGTATGTAGGGAGAGTCAGAATGGCCACTTAGCAGAGTTCTGTGAGTGTGGGGGGTCGGGAGGAGAACGTGGGGGGCTTCTAAGCCCTACAAAGACCCCAACAGGGCAGAGGAAACCACGGCCCTACAATTCCTTTCTCAATCCTGAGCTGTGGGCCAGAAAACAGTGGGCAGGAAGCCAGGGGCCAGGGGCCCAGCAGCTGGGCCCAGGGAAGAGCACTGGACCAGCGCTCATCCAGACTCTGCCCGTGAGCCACGGTGACTCACTGGTCTTCCAATCAATTCCCTACAGAGTAAAAAACAGTAATCAATTCCCCACGCCAGAGTAATAAGTTTAAAAATGCAAGTCACTTGCTTGAAGTCTTTCAATGGGTCCCCATCTTCCCTGCAGCAAATCCCAAACCTCCTTCCCCATCACCGCCCCTTGCTTCCTGGCCTCCAACCCCAGGGACAGAATTAACGTTCCCCAAACCTCAAGGCCTCCCCTGGGTTACCCACACCTAACACTGGGTTCTACCACCTGGGATGGTCTTCTTCTCTTTCTAGGCAGGGTAGGGTGGGCAGGAAGATGGAAGGAACCATGGGGGTGATGGTCAGAACCCCTGGAGAAGCCAAGGACAGCACTACGGGATGGCTCAGGATTATGGTTAAGTCCTAATTTTCTAGACGCTTCCAGGGCACGAGACGTTGTTCTCAGAACCTGAGAGAGACAAAGGCACTCATCACAGTCAGACCCAGAGCACACACATCACATCCCTCTTCTCTTCTGCCTCTTTTGTTCACATGCCATGTGACTGTGATGGATGACTCCATATTTTCTCCCTTCTCACACCTACTGTACCCCTTTCGTCATCCTCCCACTAGCAGAGTCTCTACAATTTTCTCCCCTCCACTGGGAAAATATTCATTCTTTTTCCATTCATTCAAAAATATTTACTGAGTACCTCTTATGTTTCCTTGTGTGCAGGATCACTCCTGACTCATCACTGACTTGAAGCATCAAGTGTAGACCTTATACTGTGTGAGAGCCTGGTAGAAGTGTGTTAGGTAGATGGAGAGATAGATAGATGCATGGTGGGTGGTGGAATAAAGAGTTGCATGGATGGAAGGATGGATGCATGCATGCATAGATAAACAGATGGAAAAAGAGACAGAGGAAGATGGATGGAAAGAGGATGGAGGGATGGATGGAGGGATGGATGGAGGGATGGGTGGATGATGGCAGATGGATGGTGGATAGATGGGGAAGGATGGAGGACGATGGATGAGTGGATGGATGGATGGAAGGGTGGATGGATGGGTGGATGGATGAATACATGGATAGACAAATGCATGGGTAGATGGAGGATGGATAATTGGATAGATGGAGAAGGATGGAGGAGGATGGTTGGATGGGTGGATGGAGGGATGGGTGGGTGGATGGATGAATGGGTAGATAGACGGATGGGTGGATGGATGGATGGACAGATGAATGAATACATGGAAAGACAAATGCATGGATGGATGGAAGATGGATGGAGGGATGGATGGAGGGATGGGTGGATGATGGCAGATGGATGGTGGATAGATGGGGAAGGATGGAGGACGATGGATGAGTGGATGGATGGATGGAAGGATGGATGGATGGGTGGATGGATGGGTGGAGAAGGATGGATGAATAGGTGGATGGATGAATGCATGGATAGACAAATGCATGGATAGATGGAGGATGGATAATTGGATAGATGGAGAAGGATGGAGGAGGATGGTTGGATGGGTGGATGGAGGGATGGGTGGGTGGATGGATGAATGGGTGGATAGACGGATGGGTGGATGGATGGATGGATGGGTGGGTGGATAGATGGATGGACAGATGGATGAATACATGGAAAGACAAATGCAGGGATGGATGGAAGATGGATGGATGGGGCAGTATAAATAGGTAGATGACGGTGGGGGTGGGATGGATAGGTGGGTGTCTCTGTGAAATCCCAGTTTGGTCACACTGATTGGGAAACCAGTCTTTAATGCCCAGGATCCCCCCAGTTAGGCCCTTTCCAGCCCCTAGCAGCCTTTTCCTCTGTTTCAAGAATAAATGGGATCTTCCCTCCCCGTCGCCAAGTTCCCACGGCAGCCATTTGTTCTAAGTGTCTAGGGCAGCCCCGTGGTGGTGCAATTAGTCCTCGCCAGCAGCCACTGTAACCGGCCTGTAATTTCCAGGCTGTTGGACGGTGATTGCACACGAGCAATTAGTCCTCGCCAGCAGCCACTGTAACCGGCCTGTAATTTCCAGGCTGTTGGACGGTGATTGCACACGAACAGCTCGGCCAGGCTCCACACCTGCAACAACACGCGGAGCCTCTTCTCCTCTCCACGCCGCTCCGAATGCCAACAAGCAGGTGAGCTCCTGATGCCGTATTAGTATGGGGTGATTTTCATTACTAAACGACTCCAGGGCTGTCCAAGTGAGGAGAGCAATTAGGCCCATCAGGGGAAGACAAAGCGTCCCTTGAGGAGCATAACATGACACAGGCGGAATCGCTGTGGCCCGAGGAGGCCGTGAAATCACCGCCCAGGGCTGCTCCGTGGTGGACACCAGCCATGTGCAGTCCTCGGGCCCCACCGCCCGCCCTGGACGCCCGCCACGGCCCCCACAGCCTCAGCCCCAAAGGGCGGACACACCAGCCCTTCCGTGAAATTAGAAGAAATTGCGTATCCAGTACTCCTTACCAAGATGAGCAGTTACGGGGTGACTTTTCCAGGAAAAATGTCAGTCCCTGAAGAGGAGTTTAACTGAGAAAGTCCATGCCCCTTCCGCACAGTGACGGGAATCCTCCCTGATCTCTCTTCTGCCTCACACTCCAGCCGTCGGATCCCACACGTTTGCCAAGACACTGTCATGTGCGCATCGGGGTGTTTGCAAACGCTGTTCCACCCACCTGGAACGCCCTTCCCTTCAGCCGCCAAAACCCACTCAGGTGTCTCTGCTGACACTTGGCCTCTCGGTCGAAGTCAGCCTCTGCTCTCATTTGGGCTCTGCAGACACGCCTCCTCCACGGGCTGAGACTGTCCCCAGCAAAGTGCCGCAAACTGCCGTGCATGGGCGGAGTCCAGCCCGCCCCCCTGTCTTTGTAAATAAAGTTTTATCGGGACACAGCTTACATGTTGTCTGCCACTGCCTTCTCAGCATGGAGCCAGGGTGCTTGCAATGGGGACCCTGTATGAAAAGCGTCTGCATTCGGGTCCTTCGCAGAAAAGGTTTGTCAACGCCTGGCCCAGGGTGAGAGAGGCCGGACCCCCCACCATACGGGGGGGACATGGTCTTCAGCTGAGGTGAGAAAAAGTCACAGCAGCGGGACTGAGGCAGAACGGGGACCAAGTCCCCGGCCTCCTGTCCTCTTGGCAACACATGGCCTCCCGGGGCCTGGGGTTGATTGGCACTCCTTGCCTCCGGGGGACACCCCCCTGATGTGGGGAGGAGAAATGTGGGAAATCCAGAGACCAGCCCAGAGAGCACCCCACGAAAGAAAGGAAGGTGGCCAGGCCCTGACCCTCGCCTGCCCAGGGAAGCCGGCCCCTGAACGGTCCGCGGTGAGCAGTGAGCACGCACACGGGACTGGAACCAGACAGTCGGGACTTGGGGGACAAGAGACTTAACCTCTCCAAGCCTCGACTTCCCCATCGGTGCAATGAGGAGGAAAAGCCGTTACCTTACAAAATGACTCGCACGTGCTGGGGACAGGGCTGGGGCAAAGTGGGTTCTCGGGGGGAGCGTCCTCGTGGCGCTGAATGGAAGGGAGGGCTCACGTCAGCTGGCTGTGCCGCCCGCCCTGAGCCCTGTGACCCGGTCCGCCGCCGGACAAGCCGGCCCCCAGCAGGTGGGACTGCCGACGCATAGCCAGCGCCCTTCCTGGATCTGAGGCTGACCGCCCCTCCCAGGCCCGGGGCGCGTCCCCGTGGGCGGAGATTCCCCAGTTCATGCACCTTGCTCTTGCAAGCCTGCAAGAACCAGGGGAGGCTTGCTTCTCGAGACCTTCCTCAGATGCCCAGCAGTTTGCAGATGGGATGGCCTTTTCTCTACTAGAGTCCGAATACACCTCAGTTTGAGTCCTGGGCCACCTGGCGCTCCCTGGGTGAACTTGAGCGAGCTATTGACCTTCTCTGAGCCCCCAAGGCGCTCGTCTACGAAGCAGGGAGATGCAACCAGGCGGGCTGGACGTTCTGAGGGGCAAGGGAACTCACGGATGCCGCAGCCAGCCCTGAGGAGCCTCTGCCTTATGGGCCCGGTTCAGCCCCCGCCCGCCTCTTCCCTCCACTTCTTCTTCATCCCGTCTCCCCACCCCCCAGCCCACCTGTTCTTTGTCCCTTGGTTGCAAATTCACTGCCTTTTTTTGAAGCTGATCCAATATTTCTTAATGTCCAGTTTTATATTCCCTACTGGATTTTTAGCGATACCTCCCTTTATTGTGTGTTTTGGTAGTACGCTGGGGCCGACACGAGGCCCCCTCTGTCAATCCTGGACGGCTCGGCACCTGCTCACGGTCCCTCCCCTGTGACCCCCGTTGCTTCTGAGAAGTCGATGGCCGGTCTCGTCCCTGTTACCCCGTGTGCGTGTGTGGACCGTGCGGGGTTCCCTCCCCCTCTGGCTGCTTTTCAAGATTCCCTTTGTGTTCAGTGTTAAGCCGCTTGACAACAATGTGGGGACATGTGAATTTCTCCTTCTCCGGACGGTCTCACCTTCTTGGAACCTTTTCAAACATCAAATCTGGGGGTGGGGGGGGGAATCATTAGCTATTTGTTTCTCCAAATATGATTTCCGACTTATTTCCTGGATAGTCTCCCACGGAACCGTAGGCGTGTTAGACTGTTTGATGTCGTCCCATGAGCTTCTGAGGGTCTGCTCCCTTTTCCTCAATCCTTTCCCTGCCTGCTGTCCCCAGATTGGGTCATTGCTGGTGGTTTATGTTCAAATTCACTTATTTGTTCTCCTGACACCTCTAATGTGCTATGAAGTCCATCCTGTGAATTCTCTACTTCAACCGTGATACTTTTTGGTTCTAGAATTTGCATTTGGTTCCTTTTTGTTCCTGTCCCTCTGCAGACATTCTCTGTCTGTTGACTCAGCGTGACTTTGGTCTTTCGAGCATATTTATATAACTGCTTTGAAGGTTTTACTTTTAGGGGCGACTGGGTGGCTCAGTCGTTAAGCGTCTGCCTTCAGCTCAGGTCATGATCCCAGGGTCCTGGGATCGAGCCCCGCATCGGGCTCCCTGCTCAGCGGGAGGCCTGCTTCTCCCTCTCCCACTCCCCCTGCTTGTGTTCCCTCTCTCGCTGTCTCTCTCTGTGTCAAATAAATAAATTAAATATATTTTTTTAAAGATTTTGCTTTTAAAGAGCTCATAGCTGGGCCATCTTGGGTGAGTCCCTATTAGTTGGATGCTTTCCTCGATTGCAGGTCACACCTTCCTGGTACCTTCACAGGGAACTCCTGGCCCAGGGGCGTTTCCCGTCTCTTAGCTCCTAGCTGCCACCCCTGCACCAAGAGTCTCCACTTCATGTCCAGCCTTCAGGAACTGTTCTGTTTTTTTTAAGTATAACTGGCCCCAGGAAAAGCATGACAGAATTCTGTTTACAGCTGTGTGGCCTTTACTATATGTCTCTGAGCAGAGCCGCGGGACGGCCCCCTCGTGTCTCGCCCCAGCACCACGCCCAGCAAGCAGAAGCATTTCCTGATACTTGCAGGGCCTGACTGAGGCCACACGGGCTCGGGCGGTTCGCGAGGGGCTCTCCTGCAGGTGCTCAAGGGGGGAGTCCTGGCCCATCCGGCAGGACAGGGCAGAGCGGGCGGGAGCAGAGGGACCCTAAGGAATTGTTCAAACATGTAACTTTCTCAAACGTGCAGGCACGCAGCACGGCGCTGGCCCTTGAGAGATGCTTGCAAAGTGCGTAGTAACAGACCCCATTATTACTGCAGTTCGTCCTCTCGGTGCTGTTTACCTACCCGCGGCCAAGAGCTTCCGTCCCAGCGCCCAGGCCCGAAAATTGCTCCCACCATTTCAGAACAGAAAAGAAAATGTTTCTCTCTCCCCTGAAAACAACACTTGCTGGTTATGAAAATGATTCAGAGCATTTTCTTTTTCCTTTTTTTTATATTTATGTACTGATCCCCAGCCTTCTTGTTTTATTGTACAATCATCGGTCCCGGGACGGGGAATATACTACCGCACAAACGTGGAAGAATCTCTTGCCGGGGAATTGCTTACATGCCGAGGGCAGTGCCTCATCTAAAGGAAAGGCAGTAGGTGACCAGAAAGCACCCAAGGCCCCTCTCTCTGTAGCAGGTGCACGGGAGCTCAGGAAGCCCAGATGGACCTCACATGGGGTCAGGGGTCCCGTGGAACACCGGCGGGGAGGGGTGCTGGCCGTGCCCTGGGGAGGGACAGCTGGGCCCCCAGTCTGGCTGCACTCTGCGAGTCGCGCTCACCGCCACCTAATGGGGCTCACAGGGCCCCTCGGGCAGGTACCGCGAAGGGCTCCTAATTGTCTCCTTGGTGAAACCCCATACTCCCCCTCCCAGCACAACTAAATGACTGAGTAATGACCCCATAAGCGGCTACCTGATTAGCCTGATCCCCGGAGGAGGGAGACCCGGACGCGTGGTGCGTGCGGGGCGCAGGCTCAGGGATCCCCATCCATCTCTGTCCCCCGAGGAGCCCACACTCATTTGTCAGCCCTGACAGGAGCGGCTCGTCGTCGGAAAGACAGTAACAGAGAACCTCTTTGTTCTGCACACATGCAGAAGACCCTCTGCCCTCCTTTCTCCCGAAAGCCAGGAAGTGGGTTCAGCAACGCCGACTGGGTCCCTCACCGAAGGAAAGGGCCCGAGACCCGGGAGGAGGCCGTGCGGAGGGAGGAGACCAAAGTGAGAAGTGCCGAGACCCGTGTGCATGGGTCTGATCCACGCTGCAAAATCACGTCCTCTCAGCCGCAGGCCAGCAGCCCACGTCCCCTCCCCCAGCCACTGGAGCATGATGGGGGCAGGGAAGCTAGGAGGACGGAAGACCAGGCAGACCCTACCCCTTGTCCATTCTGCGGAGACAGGGACAGCAGACCCCAGGGCTTGCACCCTAGCCGTCCACCCCACGAACACCCGAGAGCACAGGGCGGCCGCCGGCCACAGGAGGGCGCTGGGCGCCACTGTCCCTTGGTGGGGCCACTTGGATGAAGGGTCGCCCCCGCCCCCTGCCCACCTCCCCGGCCTGCCGGACCCTGCTCAGCCGAGACCAACGCGGTATTCACCTCAGTGAAGAATGGAATTTGAAAAGCCCGTGAGGAATACTCAGATCAGGACGCAGGAAAGAACCGCGTCTCTGTTTGCCTTGCCCATAAAATGGGGACAATAATACAAGCCCACGCTCCCGTTCTCCCAGTCAGTGGACACGGCGCTGGCCTCACGGGACGAGCAGGGCCTCGCGGGCCCGGGAAAGACCCAGAAGCACGTTTGTTTCCGGCTGGAGGCGTTCCCGCCGGCCCGGCATCTGCAGGCAGAAGCCGCGTGCTGTCACGTTCGCCCAGAGACCCAGCAAGAGATGCCGGAGCCCAGCTAAACCTCCGAGCCGCACACGGGACAGAGTCCCCTGGAAGCAGTCCAGTCACACCCTGACCCCGAGGGAGCCCCCACCTTGGCCCCTCATAGACGGAGCTCGGCCCCTGTTCCCAGTCCTGACCTTGGACTGACATCTGACCTTGGACACAGGAGCCCGGATTCTGGTTGTGAACAGAATTCTGTGTCTTCCTATCAAAACCGACCCCCAAACCTGCTCCGGGCCCAACGGGCCTGGGAGAGCATTCGGACAATTCTGTGAAGCCCATTTCTCGTGGTGGGGGCGGTCGGGGCAGACACAGACACTTTAAAAACTGGGAAGTCCATGTCCCACGTCCCACGTGCCGGAAGTCCACAGTACCCACAGCAAACCCCTCTCTCTCCCCTCTTCTCTTCTAGCCCCTTTCCCAGAAACACAAATTTCATAACTGCTTATTTATATTCCTAATTAAAGTGGGGACGCATCGGCCCTTCTGAGAGAGGGTCTCCACCTGTGTCCCCAAGATCAGGACGCACAGCTTTGGTGTGGACCTCCTGGTGTGGCCGGAGGCTCCCCGGCCTCGGAGGACCCTGCAGGCCACTTGATGGCGTTTGTCCATCGATCCCCTTCAAGCTCATACCCTCTCTGCCGTGCAGGCCGCCACAACCCAACGGTCTTCTATGGGGCGAACTCACGGGCCCAGAGTAAATTTACACTCGAATGCTTTGTGCTTTTCTCTATTTTCCACATTATTTCCCGACGGGCTATGTTTAGCCTCAAATAGAACCGTGGGTCTGGAATATTTCTGTTGGAATTTGCCACGTGGCTGAACCTCACTGAGGTTACCACATCCCAGCTGGCACACTCGGAACCAGTCCCGTCGCGGGCGAATAAGGACACGCGGCCTCCTCCTCTTTGGTGTTCTCGGCTCTCGTCCCATCTCATTGACGTGCTCCATGAGAACACTGTTCCCCACACCCCAGGTCACCCATGAGGCCACAGGGGCGGTGGACGTACACCAGGGAGACTGGGAGGGTGAGGGCAGGGCTCCCCAAGCCAGCGTGGTTGTTGGCGCGGGCCGGAAAAACGCCTTTTGTGGGGGGCATAGATTGTGAGGTGTTTAGGAGCATCCCCGACCTCCCCCCACCCCCGCGAGATGCCAACAAAACCTCCTCCCGACTGCAGCAACCACGGATGTCTCCAAACATTGCCTAACATCCCCCCGTGGGGACATTCACCCCGAGTTGAGAACCACCTGTCTCAGGGAAGGTGCTTAGCTTTTACTTCCCCAATCTCCTCTCTTCCGAGTCGCCAGGCCTCGTGACCCCACGCTCCTGGAAATCCGAGATCTGCCCAGGCCATCCTGTACAGCTGTTTTCTGCTCCCTGAGTTTAACGAGAAAGCCTCCAGTTTTCTCCATTAGTTTGATGTGAGCTCAACCTTTTATTTTATTTTTTTAAAGGTTTTATTTATTTGACAGAGAGAAAGACAGCCAGAGAGGGAACACAAGCAAGGGGAGTGGGAGAGGGAGAAGCAGGCTTCCTGTGGAGCAGGGAGCCTGATGCGGGGCTCGATCCCAGGACCCTGGGATCATGACCTGAGCCGAAGGCAGACGTTTAACGACTGAGCCACCCAGGCACCCCGAGCTCAACCTTTTAAATTATGCTTAAGAAAATATTGGGCTGGATCAAAGTGGTTTCAGTGGCAAGTCATGGAACACCCACTCGAGTTGCCTTAAACCATAAGGAGAATTTTTCAGCTGGTGTGGAAATACCCCAGTGAGAGTACGAGCTTCAGGCATGGTTCGATCAGGGCTCTAGTTCCGTTTCCCTGCAATGCTGAGCCCTGCACACCGGCTTGTGGTCTTACCAGCCTTCCTCTTAGGAAAGTCAACGTCTCCCCACTTGTATACCTGGCATTTGCACACCATGTAGCCCAGAAGAAAAAGTGTTTCTTTCTCCAAACTTTGAGGAGATGAAAAGCCTCCCTTTGCGGTGTTTACTCTGATCAGCGCATCCTAGGACTCTCCTCATGGTTGAAGCAATCATAATGGCCGAGAACATCACTTGTTGAGTTATCGCCCGTCCCTAACTGTTCCCTGTGGAGCTCCACTGAAGGATGTGGGGTGAGGGGGCTCCCTCAGAGCAGGTGGGGATCCATGCCACTCCGGCCCTGGGCTGCCCACGATGCGGGGGGCACCATCCATCCCCCTGCATAAGGTTAGTCTGTCAGCTTTGAGTGAGGACTGCATACTGAATTTGGTTAAAATTCCTTCTTCGTGGCTACCGCATCAGTCCTGTGACGTTTCTTCCTTGGATACGTTAATATATCACATTGACAGATTTCATAATTTTGAAAGGCCTTTGAATTGGAGGGAGAATCCCATTTGAAGGCAGTATTTTATTTTATTCTTTTCAAAGGCCGTGCAAGTTTCTGCCATTATTTTATGTAAGATTTTTTTTCATGGTTGTCCTGAGTGGAGATTGGTTTAAAGTTTTTCCAATTTTGTGCCAATTTTGTCAAATTTTGGTATCCATGTTACACGAGTCTTATAAAAGGAATTTGGAAACCATGCTTCTTTCTCTAAGATCTGGAAGGGTTTAAATAGTATCAGGTTCATCTGTTACTTGAACACTTGAAGGAATTTACCTTTAAGACCATCTGGGTTTGGTGCTTTCGTGGAGAGGTTGCTTTTTTTTTTTTTATATAACTTTTCTCAATTTCTTCCATTGTTTTGAGACT